ACAGCATTGGCAAAAAGAAGTACCACCTTGGGCAAGGTCAGACCAAGGGTCCCAGTGAAGCCGGAGGCCCTGGTCAGGCTGCCACAACAGGTGGCTAAACACACAGCTGCTGGCTATCTGATCTGCCAACTGCTTCTGCCAGCAGAAACCGTCTTTCTTCTCCAACACTCCTCACACTTAAATAGGGAAATCAAATCCACGGTCCCCAAACACTAGTGCCACCAATGTGACCTGGATGAAGAAGCTGCAGTACCCAGGTAGGGCAGGAGACGGAAGCTTCTGAACCCTGTTTCCTCCAGCCTCGGGTTGGGGTTGCATGAGCTCGATGCCATTCTGTTAGGCACTTCACCTGTGCGTTTGCACAGAAGACATGTTTGTAAAATGGTGGCCACGGTTACTGGTTCTGAATCCCAAAGTACTTCGAGAGCTGCAGTTCCTACTACTTAGAAAAGCAAGCGGTTGCCAGGGTATGAGGTCAGGTGAAAGGGAAGACTATCAAGGGGTTCAGGGGAGTCTCCTGAGGTGATAAAACCTTCTAGACCAGTGGTTCTCATCTTTCCTAATGCCGCAATCCTTTCATACAGTTCCTCATGTTGTGGTAACCCCCCCAACCATAAAATTATTTTCGTTGCTACTTTGTAACTGTAATTTTGCTACTGTTATGAATCGGCAGACCCCTGTGAAAGGGTCGTTTGACCCCCAGAGGGGTCGTGACCCACAGATTGTGAACTGCTGTTCTAGATCTTGACTGTTGTGTGAGCCATTCAAGCTCATACAACTGGACACCGACAAGTGTTACTGTATGAAGTTATCTGGGTATAAAAGCACCAAGCAGAACATTGCATTAATTCTGATTAAGAGCAAGCCATCTAAACCATAAACATGGTGACTTTGTTTTGTTCTAAAATTAAAAAGGAATCTGCGGCCTGAAACATGACTTCACATTTCAGACCAAGCACTTGAATGAAAAGTTAGAGTGATTTGTAATACACACACATGCACACACACACACACACACACACACAAATGGGGTGCCACCTGAACAATTAACCAAACTGACTGTCTTGGAATTGGATTAGAATGAATGGTGTGATGAAATGAATTAGCAGAAAGTGAAAGCGATGTTTGTAGTTACTAGATTCCTTAAATTGACAAATATGATCATGGCTTCGTTCCTAAAAAATCTGCCAAGGGGACTTTGCGAATAATCTAAGAGGTGCGCCATTATACTCAATAAGCTAAGGAAAGGGAAGAAAGTCCAATGGCAAGTTCTCCGATGGATTTATCTTCTCAAGGTGTTCATAAAAGGCTCTAAGGAGCCGCTCACGCTCTTGAGCTGTCACACTGCCACCATGGCCAAGGAGTTCTTGGAGTAGAGATCTGTGCATTTATTTTGGCAGGAGCTGCCGTTTTACAACAATTTCTCACTCAACACCACAATTACAAAACAGATGGCGTTCCACAGAAGTGGTTTTATATGAGAAATGTAATTCTGGTCAACCTACAGTGTCATTGTACCATATGTCTTAGCCCCCATACCCTTTCTCTGCTCACTGTTTATCACAGTATCACACTGAGGTCATTATGCTCCCTCTGATTTCAGGATGCTCCACCCCAAGAGGAATGTCAAGATTGCAGTGAAGATGGGGCCTACGAAAGAGGCACAGAGCTCCTGAGGCCAACGCTTCAACTACTACCACTCCCCAACCACACTTGCTGGCCCCTCTGCCAGTATGCTCCTGCTTTTCCTGAACTATCACCATGCTTATTGTTCTCAGTTGAAATATAGCTCACCCTGAAAAAAAATCATGTCCACCAAAAACTATGGATATAAACTTATTCAGAAAGAGGGTCTTTGTAGATGTAAGCATGATCAAATGGGGTGGCTCCTCATCCATTGACCAAGCTACTTGCCACCAAGCTGATTCCCACTCAGAGCGACCCTAAAGACAGAGTAAACCAGCCCCTGTGAGTTTGGGAAGCTGTCAATCTTTACAGGAACAAAAGCCTCATCTTTCTGCCAAGGACCAGCTGGTGCATTAGAAATGGTGACCTTGTGGTAAGCAACGCAACATAGGACCCCCGTAGACCACCAGGACTCCTCTGACAGGTGTTCTGATAATGACCGGTGTCCTTGTCCTTATTAGAACCAAGAAATTTGGACACAGCCACACAAGAAGGAATGTGTGACATCAGACACAGGCATTAGAGTGATGTCTCTCCAGGCCAGGGGACATCAAGGATTGCTGGCAAACAGCAGAAGCAAAGAAGCAGTAATGCATAGTTCTCCCATCCAGCCTTCAGAGAGCATGGTCTAGCATGGTCCTGCCAGTGGAACAACTCAGTTTCAGACTTCTAGCCTCAAGAACTGGAGAGAAGGAATTCCTGTTGCTTTAACCCACTCAACTCTGGTTAAGTGGTTAAGGTAGCCCTAACCTGCTCCACTCCCACCACTGCTCTTAGACCACCTGACTGCTGGTCCCTCACATTTACGGAAAGCACAGAGAAGCCAGGGAGAGATGTCACTACTGCTTTGTCACTTTCCAGCTGCATTAACTTCTGCTCAGCTTTCCACAAGTTAGTTGGTTTTCTATTAAAAAAAAAAAAAAGAAATGTTGCAAGATAAAGAATGACACTAAATTTGCCATTTACATCAAAGACCTCTTTATCCTACTAGGATATTGCCTTGCAGCTGTATACTTTTAAAATAGACCACACTAAATCCCTAAAATCTTAACCCATCAAGACACCAATTCATGGGGAAACATATCAAGTAGTTACTTGCATAAAGACAGCACACCCACTTTCTTCGGAGTCTCAGAACCTGAGCTTGCTGGACTTTCAACTTTTAAAAGCTGTTTGAGAAAAATGCAAGTTGTAAATGGAGGCAGGAGGGTGGGGGAAGCAAGTAAGTTATTTTAAGAGATACTAGATAGGGGATTGGCAAATCCGAAGCCACCTGTTTGAGCAATGAACAGAACTTGAGAGAAAACTTGTACTTCCTTCTGCCTTCCTAACGGCCATCTTCCTTCTTTTTTCCTAACGGCCATAGAGTTGATTTCAACTCATGGAGACCCTGTATTGTATGTTCGTCTTTCTCATCCATTTTTTCTGATTCATTCAAGAAGCAACAGTCTACTCAGCCCCTGTTAAGCAGTGCCCGCTAAGTTCCTGGCATTGAGTAGCTAGGTTTATAACAGTGAACAAGAAACCAAGTGCCTCCAATTAGAAAGAAGAAAACTGAGAAAATAACCGAAAGTTTCACAAGTCAATAAAAGTACCGATATCAGTTACTTGTGAATGATGAATCGTGTCCCCTTGCTGACAAATTCTAAATTCTATCAGAAATATTGTAAATCAACTTCCTAATTACCCATGAATGTAATTAAGACAGAAGTTGCTGTAACTAAATAGTTACACCGGGAATCCTACCATCCACCCCCAGGAGGTTGACATTTTTTAATGCAAATAATAACCCCCTTTAAAAATAAAACTGGGGGATGTTAAAAAATATTGGTAGGGTAGTGTCTTCTCTGTAATTCTTGCCTTGAACTTCATTCATCGAACACCAAAATGCAAACTCCCCCCCTAAAAATGATACACAACAAAACGATGATGACACATAACTCTTGTCGATGGTAGTGATCATCATTTGCACAGTTAAAGGCAACTTCTGGAGAACCACAAGCCACAGAGTAAAAAGTACATATAAGTCACTGAACACTATGTGCTCAACAAAAGACATGTGACTTGCCTTACTTTAACCCTAAACATGTGCTTCACGTAAGTATTACACCTGATCTTTAAGGCCCTCAATTTGTGCCCCTGCCCAGACATAAACTGTGCAAACAGAAGACAAGGCGGAAAAACAGTTTCACAACAGTTACATTGAATATAGCAAGGTGGTATATTTCACTACATTAATGCAGAAGTTGCAAACACCATCAGACATTTTTACAACACTTGGAAGATTCAGTTACATTTCAAATCCCATCAGAGCCAATTCTCTTCACATTTCCCCCTCTCCCCCACAGGTTATCAGCCGCAGGAGGCATGGGTGTCTGCTCCCGGTCCTGTTAACCCTCCTCTGGTTTTCAGAAAGCAACACTTTCGTATTTGCTCCACACTTGAGCAGGAGCTCTAACCTTGCCTACGGCTCTGCTCTTCTCAGCTCATCAACTATTTTTCATTTCATGTCACGTGTAACGTTTTTACTGACTAAAATGTAATGTTAGAATTAAACCACAACAAACTCAGGAATTCCTAATATTACTTCTTGCGTGCAAAATGCTCATAAAAATAAGTCGCTGGCTTTCTTCTGTTAAATAACAAGGTGCAAAAGCTAAGAAAAACAAGCAAACCCGCCCAAAAGAACTTCCATAGAGAAACTGGAGGCCTGTCTACTGCAGTAAGGAAAAGATTAGAACTGGGATCTTTCAGTGCTGTTGAGCCTCTGAAAGCAGAGACCTGTGTTAATGGCCAGAACCGTGCTGCATTTCCCGGCCCAAGTGACTATACATTGTGTACCATGGAAGCCAAACCATCTGAATGAGGCAACCAGACAGAAGAAAACCCATTAGCTGGTGTCTGCTCACCTCGTGCGATTTTTTTCAATGGCTCTACCTAATCTTCAACTGTCCTCAAAATGCGAGAGGAAAGCCTAAGGCAGTCTGTTACCCACACAGGCTTCAGCCTATGAAGGACATGCCCAGCCCAGGCAGGCCACAATTCCAGGGCCATCGTGCGAAAGGTGACAGCCCCAAGTTCTAACGGGGGATGCCAGGACACAGCTCCCCCTGCACCTCGGGGATCACCTCCTCTCCGTTCGTTCCCAATGCCATTTGCATCCACTCCGTGCTCAACCACCCTGAGCACCCGCGCACCGGTGGTTCCTGTTAGCAGTGGGCTCCCCCTCCATCCCTCGCCTGCCCCCCCTCGCGGGTGGGAACAGACCCCAAGGGCGGCTGGGGGCGGGCGAGGAGCGCCCCGCTGCCACTCACCTTGATGATGCTGCTCCGGCGGGGCAGGCCGCCCGGCTTGCTCTCCCGGGGGCCGGGGTCGCCGGC